CTTTTGACTTTTCCTTATTTATTTATTTCCTTCTATTCTCCTTATCTTTTCAGCCTCCCTGATTTGCAATGATTCTTTTGACTTTTCCTTATTTATTTATTTCCTTCTATTCTTCTTACCTTTTCAGCTTCCTTGATTTGGGCTGATCCTGTATGTTCAGATAATCGTGAACGAGCTATTCTACATCACTTCCAGAGACTTTGTTGAGACTTGGAGAGGGTGTATAGTGTGGGCCCAAGTCCGGGACGTTTGGAGGACACGTCTTTGTGCGTTTGGTGGTGTTTATAGCTTGAGAAGAGGAACATGAGGTCCTTTGAAGGAAAGGAAACACCTATTCATGTGCTTAAGTCCTCCATTATTACCACTCTTTTTGTTGGGTTATAGGGAGATATTCTAGATCTTTGGAAGAGATAATTGATTTTTTGGGCTCTTTAAGAGAGTAGAGGCCCTATTTGACCTTGTGTAGTTCTTTGGGATGTGGGTCCCCTTTTGTTCGCCTTTTTGTACAATCTTACTTACTGAAAAAAAAGAATGCCCGCCAAACATCAATAGCATTCTTAGTGGTGATGCAGCAGCGGGTAGGGGCAATTCAAAAACAGAATTCAAGTAAATAAGAAAGAGGTTAAGAAAGTGATTGAGAGAGAAATAAAATTAGAATAATAAGGGAAGAAATCAGAATGAGAGAAGAGAAGAATAATAGAGGGAGGGAAAAGAAATCACAATAATCTCAAATTCAATATCAATAATAATCATCAAAAGCTTCACAACAATGTTGATAGCCCACATATAAATAGGCATCAAGAAAACCCTAAAAATCCTATTACCATAATTAAATCCTAAAACAGTAAAATTATTGAAAAGTCTAATAATAATAATAAATAGCAGACAAAAAAATCCCTAATTCTATCTTTCTTTCCCATCATTCCATCCCGGTTGAGAAGAACTCTCCTCCGGAGAGTAAATGCATAAGTATAGTTCCAAAAACTATGAACCAATACCCCATTTGATACTTGAAACTAGAAAACCCTTCCATCGGACAAGGTAATACTTAATATCTCCAAGATGAGGGCCATCACTCTGATAATCAACAATATCCTCTGTCCAATCCATATAATGCGGCTGAAAAGATAGATGAACTAATGCCCGAGGAAAATGTAAATCCACCTGTAGGAACATATGCCAATAAAATAGGAGGCTCAAAGGTCTTTTCAAAAAAAAAAAAAAAAAAAATAGGAGGCTCAAAGGTGCCTCGGTCAGATAACAAATACTCCACATCAAAAATTGAATTAGTACTCAGATCCAATGACCAATCAAAGTAATATGCATTGGGTCCTAATTTTTGAATGATGTGGAAAATTCCAACAATTTTTGCATGTTTTATTTGGAAGGAGTTTTTAGGATAAGGTTGAGGTAGTGCACAGATTATAGCATAATCACCTTCAATTAATTCATGATTCCTATGATAAGCATATGCAATGAGTTCAGAATTCTTTTTACTTGAGACAATTTCTTGTCGCATATCGGCATAAAATTCATGAACAAGCTGAATGAAGGAATCAACAAACTCAAGTGAATACATACATGGAGGTGGATGATAATAATCAATGGACTGACATAGTAAAGAATTGTAGATAATCTCCAAAGAACAACTACCGGTATTTTGATTAGTCGCACTTGTATAAACATAATCCATGATAGGTAAAAACAAGTGCCAAGTGTTTAGGTGTATGCTAATAATAAAACTAACCATCTTTCCTAGACCTTGATTCACAACATCAATTTTTCTGTCATTCAAAGGACAAGATGCAAAAGGAAACTTCAAATTTGTTCCTAAGAATGTCCAAAGTGTCTTCCAGAAATTACTATTGTACTTGACATCCTTGTTTGACACAATGGAGGTGGATGACTCATGAAATTTAATCATCTCTTCAAGGCAATTTCAAGTGGCCTCAATTTGTGCAAATTCATCATTTGCTCCATTCAGTTCAACATTTTCCCTAGAATGTGTATGGTTAGGTGGGACATCAAATGAATATGATTCTAGGGCTAAGGCAGTGGTGTGTTGCTCCCCAATCATGTTTGACAATTTAGTTTGATGCTCCTCAAATGTTACATCCTTAATTTCATCCAATTGAGTGCATTTGGGTGGTGGAGAATACAACACCTCATATATGACAATGGGAGCTGCCTTAATTACGAATTTTTCTTCTTTTGCCAATACAATAGACTCTTTTTCAGACACATCTTGACCAATAGAAGTGACTACTTCAACAAAATCAATGGACAAAAGGCCCATAGATTGTAGAGCTTTTGAGGTGAAATAGTCTGATTTTCCTTGCTTTCTTCAAGTTCTAGAGTCGTAATTTTCCCCATGGATGAAAAAACACTATCTGAGTGATAATACCTTATTCCCTTAAGAAGTGTTCAAACATCTCAACAATTAATTCATTACAGTCCAAATCAAGCATAATCAAGCTTGACTTGACCTGTGCAACAGTGTGAAGCATTGAAATACCTTTTCTGTAGCAACAGTCAGAAATATGAGACAACTTCTCAAAAGACTTAACAGTTACCTGAAAAATCTCCTTTAATTGCTCATCACTAAAAGGCTCATTTGGTGCAGTAATTCTCATAATTTCATTGAGACAACTGGCAACTGAAATTCTCACATCTATATTTGGATGCCGAATAAGACATTTGCAAGTAAGACATCTATTGTGAAAGATATTGCATTTTGGATCAATATTGATGGATTTTGTTTCACATTGCATAAAAGAAGCTCTAACTGATTTTGTCTCACATTGCATTAAAGAAGCTCTAACTCATCAAGTATACTGAGAAGTTCAGAAACAACAAATGGAAGCATAAAGAGCCATATTTCTAGTGTTTAGGAGTTGTTGGACTACTCCCCCTTTGACAACTCTCTTTGTCTCTCTTTCATCTTCACACCAGTCTGTTCGACTTTCATGTGAGAAGTTTGGTTTGTGCTCAACAATCCCAATTTTGCTTGGCTTAGAACACAGCCATTGGGGACATAAAATGACATTCTCTTCTAACATCGTTACGTATTAATGGAATGGAACAGACATAAGAATGGTTGAAGATAATGCCAACATAGGACTCAAATTGAAGTAAGCAGATCGAATCATAAATCTACTACAATGCACAAACAAGAAATATGAATGCAATTAAAGTGATTATGCCAAAATTCGTGCACTAGGGTGGGAGACGATAACAAAATAAATGTGGCTAAAGGGATGGAAATAAAGATGGAAATTTCTTTTTAAAACCTTTTTTTTTTTTTAATTAAAGGTGCAACTAAGGCAATTTAAAGGCAAAATTTAAATGGGTAAATTTAAATGGGTAGTCAGGACCTTTTTTGCACATTTTTAAACCAATCAATTAGATAAAAGTACTAGAACAATTTTTAAAAAGAAGTACATGTATCTTTTTTGAAGTCCTATGTAGCTCCCAAGTCTTGAAGGCTAACCAAAAGTGGCTGTAAAAAACTGAAATACAGATTCTGTTTATTTTATTTTATTTTGGAACTGGTTTACTTCTGAACTGGTTCTCTACTGAAAGTGTTGAACTGGTTCAGTTCTGATCTAGTTCCAAGACTGGACTGCCTCTAACTGTAACCAAACAGGCCCAATTTGGAATGAGATTTAAATCTGTACTGCTTTCCAAATCGTGGGTCCACAAACCAGGGACCCGAGGCTTATGCGAGTTGATGATCTAACTGCAGTGATGATAGGAAGCTCCGATGACAGCGATAACCAGAATCTGACAGTGACGATACAGTGCTCCAGTGATGAATACGAAGACGGCGAAACTGTTTGCAGGTTCCGGCAAAGGCTGAAGAATACAGGCAGCAATGGACTGATGGCGAGAATCTGTCAACTTGATGTTCGCGGGAGTTTGTGGCTTCGGTTTATGTGTTGAGGGCTGTTGAGTTTGTAACTTTGTCGGGGTATGGGTTTTGCGGTTGTGTCTTGCAGCTAGGGTTTCGGTATTGTTGTAGATACTGGCAGTGGCGGCTATGGTCGACGGTTGCGGTAAACTGTTATTGAGGGTTTGGGTTACGACAATTAGGGTTTGGTTGGGTGAACACAGTATTGGTATTGGATGGTTTATTGCAGCTGGTGATTAGGGTTCAGATGCAGCGGCTGTAGATTTTGTTAGGGTGTCAGTTGATTTGTATTGGTGCCGGCTGGGGCTTAGGATCTTCAGATGGCTGAACAGTGTTAATGGATTAGATTGCTAAACAAGTAGAGTGCTGTGAACAGTAGAATACTATGGATCTTTGCTCTGATACCAATTGATGTAGCAGCGGGTAGGGGCGATTCGAAATAAGAATTCAAGTAAATAAGAAAGAGGTTAAGAAGGTGATTGAGAGAGAAATAGAAGAAGAATAATAGGGGAAGAAATCAGAATGAGAGAGAAGAGAAGAATAATAGAGGGAAAAGAAATCACAATAATCTTAAATGCAATATCAATAATAATCATTAAAATCTCCGTAACAATGTTGATAGCCGACATATAAATAGGCATCAAGAAAACCCTAAAAATCCTATTACCGTAAATAAATCCTCATCTCTCTTCCACATCCTACACCAATTGACTATGACTTGCCTCCTCTGCTTCAATTGTTAATTGTCATAGTCTTTCCCAAAACTGTTGTTCATCTAAAGGAAGCTGTATCTAGCATTTGATTGTAGCATTTATTGCTGCACTTGGTTTAGATCGTGAAGCATTTTTATTTTTTCAGTTTGCCTATTGTTTCTTACATAACCTCACACAATCTATATATTTTTTCAGTTTCCATTTTAATTTTTATTTTCATTTTCATTTTTTTCAATTTTAAAAATGGGGAAGTACGGTTATATGTTCTGTAACAAGTTTTAACTCCTCTACTCCTACATTTGCCTTGCAAAACGGCAAGCTTTGCTACAACCATGTTTTTATGCGTATTTGACTGAAGGTATTAAATGATATGACAGGCTTTAGGATATGTGCATGGTGCTCACGTTGTTCATGCATCTGAACCAGTCCATGGGCGACTGAGGTATGGTGAACAATATTTGTAAGGTTGTATGCTTTTCATTCAGATGTACATTATCTTATACCTCTTGTAGTCGGCATCCTCTAATGATTAGAAAGCATGGATTGAAACTGGTTATTTCTGTATTTTGTTAACTGCTCTTTATCATTTTGATATGTGACAGTATTGTTCCTCTTTGTGTAGTGAATTTTTCGTTTTTTAAGGTTCCATGCGCTTGTTTCTACCTTAATTAAATTATTTTTCTTGGCCCTTACAGTGAAATTGAGCACAGTGGATGTAGACTGTTTCATGATGTTCCTTCTGGCAGAAATTCTGGATTTAAGGTTTGTTGGATGATATATGTGAAAGAGATTGAATTTGTTAACTATATTTGATGTGCCAATTTCATGTTCCATGGAAAGTTTTTTAAATTATTTATAAACCATGACTACTGTGTAAAAGAGTTGAAGCGCCTTTAAACTTCCTTGTTAATCAAAATTAAAAAAGCTTACAGTGAAATTGAGCTCAGTGGATGTAGACTGTTTCATGATGTTCCTTTTGGCAGAAGTTCAGGATTTAAGGTTTGTTGGATGATATATGTGAAAGAGTTTGAATTTGTTAACAACATTTGATGTGCCAATTTCATGTTTCATGGCAAGCTTTTTAAATTATTTAGAAACTATGACTACAATGTAAAAGAGTTGAAGTGCCTTTGAAACTACCTTGTTAATCCAATGTATTTGCATAAACCATGACTCTTATAGCGTTATAAAATTAAGACCAAGACCTAGACCCACTTAATCGTAATAAATCAAACAATGATGTCATTTTTTTCCCCTTCTCACTTTGATTTTGTAAAGATTGAAAGAGAGAGATGGAGGCTGTGTTTCATATATATTAAACCCTAGAACAAAAGAAGCGAAGCCTATATACAAGTACAAGAATGAGCTAATTACATATTGGCCCTACCAACTATACATAATTACAACATGGCGCAATATATATATATATATATATATATATATATATATATATATATATAAATGTTCTAACACTCCCCCTCAAGCTGGAGAATATATATCATATAATTCCAACTTGGAACAGATAGTCTTCAACCGATTATAACCCAACGCTTTGGTAAACATATAAGCTAGTTGATCTTCAGACTTCACAAATGGAGTAGAGATGCTCCTAGTTAATATTTTTTCCCGAACGAAGTGACAATCAACTTCAATATGCTTGGTCCTCTCATGGAACACAGGATTGGATGCAATGTGAATGGCCGCTTGGTTATCACAGAACAATGGAATAGGAGCTTTAACTGTCAACCAAAGTTCCTCTAGAAAGTGTTGTATCCATGTCAACTCACTAGTGGTATGAGCCATTGCCCTGTACTCGACTTCAGCACTAGATCAAGCTACTACCGTTTGTTTCTTACTCTTCCATGTAAAAAGATTTCCTCCTACAAATGGGCAATAGCCTGTAGTAGACCTCGCATCTGAGGGAGATCCAGCCTGGTCAACATCTGTAAAACCTTCCACAGTGAGATGACCATTCGATTTATATAGCAACCCGAAACCTGGAGCCTGCTTTAGATATCGAATAATTCGAAGAACAACATTCCAATGCGGTACTCTAGGAGCTCCTGTGAACTGACTTACAACACTAACTGCATATGAAATGTCAGGTCGGGTGATGGTGAGATAAATTAATTTCCCAACTAAACGTCGATATCTACCATGGTCATCAAATAAATCACCCTCATCAGATGAGTTTATATTTGGATCCATAGGAGCATCAGCATGACGACCTAACATACATTTCTTCTAATAAGTCCAGCACATATTTCCTTTGAGATAAGCTTATATCTTCCTTGGATCTAGCAACCTTAATACCCAAAAAATATTTAAGTTTACCCAAGTCTTTAGTGTGGAAACCAACGGGCCAGTGGCCTAGCGGTATCAGGACCTTACTTCTCAAAGAGAGATTAAGGGTTCAAGCCTCAGAAGAGGCATGTGTGTGTGAGTACCAACTAGGGGAAAAGAAAAAAAAAAAGTCTTTAGTGTGGAACAAATTTTGCATAAACAACTTCAACTTAGCAATGCCGTCATAATCATCACCTGTGATAACAATATCGTCTACATACACCACAAGAAATATAAAACCAGTTCTGTTGTGATGGTGAAATGCCGAATGATCTGTCTGACATCTTTTAAGACCAAAGGCAAGTGCTGCCTCAGAGAATTTTCCAAACTAAGCCCTTGGAGATTGTTTCAATCCATACAGTGCCTTCTTAAGGCGACATACAGCATGACGAGACTCCCCCTGAGCAATAAAGCCAGGTGGTTGCTCCATATAAACCTCTTCAAGTAAATCACCATGCAAGAAGACATTTTTCACATCTAATTGGAACAATGGCCAGTTACAATTGGCGGCAATGGAAATAAGGACTCGGATAGAAGAAATCTTCGCAACAGGGGAAAAGGTCTCATCATAATCAATACCATAGGTCTAGGTGTACCCTTTTGCAACAAGAAGAACCTTCAAACACTCAATAGACCCATCATGAAGATATTTGACAGTGTAGACCCCTTACAACCAATTGGTTTGGAACCAGGAGGTAAGGGAACAACATCCATTTCATCTACGATGGCTTTGCGCCAATCGGGATTAGAAAGAGCATTCTACACAGTCTTGGGAACAACAGTGGCGGACAATGTGGATAAAAAAATAAGACAAAGAGGGCGATACATTATTATATGAGACAAAGTTAGAAATAGGATGTACAGCGACACAAGAACGAGTACCTTTGCATAAGGAAATAGGAAGATCATTAGCAAGAGGAGGAGCCTCAATGGAAGGAGACAATTGGGGGGATGTTTCTTGTGGTCGTCGACTATGCACTTGAAGTGGTGGTGGTGTGACAGACTCAGTTGAAGTAGACACAACAGGCAACAGAAGCAATAAATCAGTATTTAAAGACAAACCATTTGAAGAGCAGTAAGGAGTGTCCTCAAAAAAGGTGACATTCATACACAAGCATTACTAGTGCTAGGATCCCAACATTTATAACCCTTTTGAGTTTGAGAGTAACCAATAAAGACACATTTAACGGCACGAGGAGACAATTTATCACTGCCAGGACGTAATATATGAGCAAAGCACACAACCAAAAACACGAGGAGTCAATGCAAATAAGGGACGAGTAGGAAAAACAATAGAATAAGGGCATTTCCAGTTAAGAACGGCAGATGGCATACGATTAATTAAGTAACAAGCAATTAAAACAGCATCTCCCCAAAATGCATTTGGAAGATGCATATGGATCATTAAAGTACGAGCTATTTCAATTAAATGCCGATTTTTCCGTCCTGCTACACCATTTTGTTGTGGAGTAGAAGAACAAGAAATTTGGTGCAAAATATCACGAGTCACAAAATGTAGAAATAACACCTTTGACATAGACCATAGTATTATCACATTTTAAAGTTCATAAAACACAGCCAAACTGGGATTGAAATATAGAAAAAAGTTCAGACCGGTCTTTCATTAAAAACATCCAAGTCATCCTTGAGTAGTCATCAACAAAGGTAACAAAATATGAACAACCTGAATTACTGACACAACGAGCAGGACCCCAACTGTCTGTATGCACCAATTCAAATAAAGAAGACTGACGATTATCAATACGAGGAAAAGACACTCTATAGTGCTTGCCCAATTGACATGACTCACAATCTAAAGTAGACACCGACTGAAGAAAAGGTAAAGCAGACTTCAAGTACCTCAAGGAGGGATGACCTAACCGATAATGCCATTGGCGTACAGAAACATGTGAATGGGGAGCCACACCACTAGTAGACGACTGGCAATCCAAGTAATAGAGGCTATTCCTTTTAATTCCACCACCAATTGTCTTCTTCGTTTTGAGGTCCTGAAAGACACAAAAGGAAGGATAAAAAATCACAGAACAATTGAGTGCTTGAGTCAGTTTACTCACATATAATAAATTAAAAGGAAATTGTGGAACCAATTGCACAGAAGATAATGAAATGGAAGTAGTGAGTTTAATTGTGCCCTGACCAAAAATGGGATGAGTTCTACCATCTGCCATGGCAACAAAAGATGTGGAGCTAGACTTGTGGAAATTAGAAAATAGAGATTCATTACCCGTTAGATGTGTAGATGCCCCAGAGTCAAGAACCCAAGGGGAGGATAAAGTTTGTACATCTGAAAAACATGTAATATTACCTGACTTGGCAAAGGTAACAACATCATAAAACTTGTGGTGTGCGTGGTTGACCAAGGCACTGAACTCGGCTCGAGATAGTGTGACGCTGTCACTAATAGATGAATTCGATGGCATTACAGAAGGTGGGGAAGGTGGGATGGCCTAGTCTAGAGAGGGACGAGAACAAACAGTTTCAGAGGAAGTGACAACTTGATTCGCCCATGCTGGGTTTCCATGAAGATCCCAACAGTAAATAGAATGATTAGTACCCCCACAGTGGCCATAGTGACAACTATCGGTACGTCCACAACCACGGTGACCACGACCTCTATCACGACCACCATTGCCACGAGAACCACCCATATTGCCTCCATACCCTTGGTTGCTACTGGGATTACCACAATTTCTAGAAACCTATGGTGTGACAGAAGGAATCATCATAGCTAAATTTTCTTTCCCAGTTGATGTTCCATGTGATGGTTTTGAAACCCGAAGTAATCGAGCATAAATGTTACCCAAAGAAGGAAGCCCTCCATCACTAGCAAGGATTTGTTCCCGAATACTCTGAAGATTAGTGTCTAGTCCCACAAGGAAAATAGAAACATAAAATTCCTCACGTTGTCGCTTGAGAACTTCAAGATCAGTGGTCTAGGGGTGGTATTGATTCAACTCATCCAATAGGCTTTTGAAACCACTGTAATACTTGCCGGTGTTCTGACTGGATTGACAACAATGAAACATCTTTTCATACAGAGAATAGATGCGAGAAACATTTGTGTCCATAGAGTAAGTTTCTTTTACTGCATCCCAAATTTCCTTTGCAGTGTTCAAAAACATAAAGTTTGTTGCAATGGAAGGCTCCATACTATTCCACAACCATGACATAACCATGTAGTTATCTGTTTCCTAGTCATCATACCTTGTTGCAGTTGTAGATGGAGGATCATGTGTAACAAATTTTAATTTTCGTCGGGCTCCTAAAGAGATTTTCACAGCTTGAGCCCATAGTAAATAATTAGAAGCACTTAATTTCGGAGTTGTAGTTTGCAGTCCAACATGATTAAAATGTGCAGTAGAAGGTTTAATTCCCGCAAGTTCAGAGGCAGTAGTGGT